AGAGACGGAGGCAGATATGAGGGCATGGAGAGGAGGTGCAGCTAAGAACTTAGATTCATGGGAAGAGATGGACTAAGAGTTGGTGGACAGGAGGCTGACTTGCCGAATGTGCCCTTTGGAGATGTAAATTATTATATATGCCTAAGTGTTTTGTTTTGTTTAAAAAAACTAAAGTGGATAGCGAGAAATACTGTTAACTGATGGTACATGGAGGGGATTATAAAGACTGTAATTAAATAAGGTGTATGATTTGTTGAGTATAAAACTGATGATCTACCCTGTAAACTTTCACTCAATCCACACTAAAAAACTTTAAAAAAAAAAAAAATGTAGATGAGATGAAGTCTCACCATCCTCACTTCTAAAGAGAATTCTGGCTATACTTCTTCCAAGACAAATTTCTCTGTTCTTCTGGAAAGCCATGTATATTCAATACTCTTCACCAGCAAGATAATTCAAATACATCAGTTCTCCTCTGGTCTTCCTTATTCATCATCCAATTCTCGCATGTGTATCATGCATATGACGTGATTTAAAATATCATGACTGAGATCAAGTGAACCTTAGTTGTTGAGGTAACATCTTTGCTCTCTAACCCTTTAAAGAGGTCTTTTGCAGAAGACGTGCCCAATGCAGTGTGTCCTTTGGTTTGTTCATTGCTGCTTCCATGGGCATTGACTGCAGATCCGAGTAAATTGAAACACTTAACAACTTCAATACTTTATCCATTTATCTTGACGTTGTTTACTGGTCCAGTTGTGAGGATGTTTGTTTTCTTAGCATTGAACTGTAATCCAATGTTGTAATCCATACTTAGGAGTCCTGGTGTGGCACTATAGGATAAACACTAGACTGCTAATTACCTACCAGCCAATCTTTGGAAACCCTATGAGTTGGAACCTACTCAACAACACTTAACAACCACAATTCATACTGAAGTCTTTGATCCTCATGAGTAGGTGTTTCAAGTCTTCTTCACTTTCAGCTAGCCAGGTTATATCATCTGCATATCACGGGTTGCTCATGAGTCTTCCTCCAATATTGATGCTGCATTCTTCTTCATATAGTCTAGCTTCTCAGATTATTTGCTGAGCATACAGATTGAGTAAATATGGTGAAAGGGTATAAGTCTGATTATTTTAACACACACTATCTATCCCCTTGTTCTGTCCAAACAACTGATTCTAGGTTTATGTACAGATCACACATTAGAACAATGAAATATTCTGGAATTCCCATTTTTTCAATGTTACCAATAATTTATTATGATACACACAGTCAAATGTCTTGGCATAGTCAAAAAAATACAGGCAAATATCTTTTTGGCATTCTCTGCTTTCAGCCCAGATCCATGGGATGTCCGCAATAATATCCCTCTTTCCACATCCTCTTCCAGCTTGATTTCCTGTTGATGGACTACTGCAATCATTTGTAAATGATCTTCAGCAAAATTTTCCTCGCATGTGATATTAATGATTGTTGGCTGACTGTGTGCCATCAAGTTGGTTCCAACTCAGTGTAGCTTGGACTTCTTTCAGTACCATCTATTCTTGATCATATGCTACATTAGTCAATTCTTTTTGGTACAGTGACTGTGTGTATTCTTCCCTCCATCTTCTTTTCATGCTTTAATTCTTTCTTCAGTTATTTCAACTATAAGAATACCATGTATGTTTTTCATTTTTGGTTTTTTAATTTCTAGATCTTTGCAAATTTCATCAGAATACTTTACTTGATCTTCTCAAGCTAATCTCTGAAATTTTCCACTCAGCTCTTTTACTTCATCTTTCTTCCATTCACTTTGGCTACTCCATATTCAAAAGCAAGTTTCAGAGTCTCTTCTAACATCCATTTTGGTCTCTCTTTTTTGCTATCTTTTTAATGATCTTTTCCTTGCTTCATATATGATGTCCTTGATGCTGGTTTGGCACTGAAGGATAACAAGGTTGGCAGTTCAAACCTACCAGTCACTCCACAAAAGAAAGATGAGGCTTTCTAGTCCCATAAAGATTTACAGTACAGCCTTGGAAACCCTATATTGGGTCGCTATGAGTCAGAATTGACTCAGTGGTAGTGAATGTTCAGTTTGATATCATCCCACAATTTGTCTGGTCTTTGGTCATTAGTTCTCAAATTTATTCTTGAGATGCCCTCTAAATCCAGAATGGATACACTCAAGGTCATGCTTTGACTCTTGTGGACTTGTTTTAATTCAGCTTCAACTTGAACTTCAGCAGTTGATGGATTGTTCTGCTGTCAGTCCCTAGCCTTGTTCTGACTGATGATATTGAGCTTCTCCATTGTCTCTTTCTACAGATGTAGTCAATTTGAGTCCTGTGTACTTTATCTGGCAAAGTTGTATATAGTTGTCGTTTACATTGCTGAAAAATTTTACTTCCAATGAATAAATCATTATTCTTGTAAAATTCTATCATGGTATCTCTGCCATTGTTTCTATCACCAAGGCCATATTTCCCATTATAGGCCTGCAAGTGTGGGTGTTCATGTGCATATGCCCTCTCTTCTTATCAGCTGGATGCTTCATTCTCCACTCTAATCCTCTGTGGCTATGTCACTGACTCTGGGCCCAGAAATCCCCAAGTCTTGCCAAATTGCTGGCCAACCAGGTCTCCACCTGGGTTCACAGGAGTGTCTTGAATGTGGTTGGACTTAGCTCACAGCTTCATTACTATTTTTTCCTCACTTCCCCTTATCGGTGACCAAGGTGGTCACCAGTCAGAGCACATGTCTGACAAAGCCTTTTTGACCAAAACCACATGCTTAAATTTAACCTAATGCTTGCTGCATTGGTCTGTGGTTTTGTTTTGTTTTCCTGGTATGCCTGACTGGAAATCCTGTTTGCCCCCTGTTCCTGTTGTCTAGGTATATTAATTGCTAAAAGTCATCAAACTGAGAAGCAGTTTCCCACTGTGATTAAGTTGAGATGTGTAGAAAATACACTCTAAGGAAGGGAATCTTGACACAGCTTTGAAGTATGTTGTTGTTGTTGTTAAGTGCCGTCCAGTCGGTTCCGACCCATAGCGAGCTTTGAAGTATAGACACACCATATTCACTTTCATGATCATTCAGACACAACTCTGTTCCTAGATTTATTTCCAGTGTTAGTATGTAGTGTCTCCCATTGACGGAGCATTTCATGTTGGGCTGCAGCAGTCCAAATCTACCAGCCATTCTGCAGGAGAAAGGTGAGGCCTTCTACTCCCATAAGATTTACAGCCTCGGACACCCTACAGAGGGTCACTATGAAAGAGCGGAACCAGCTCCACCACGGCACATAACCACCACCACCACCAATCAGCCTCTGAGAGCTTATCTTGCTAAGAAGATTGATGGCAAATGCTTACCCTACTTAAAATACAAAAGTCCTCTGTTTAGACTATGGTGGTCAGACAAAAGCATTCTCTTATCACCTCATTGGGCTGGGCTCCTCTTGTCTTATTTTACCATTCATTTTAGCAGATCACAGAAAGACATGAGCAAGACCAATACATCCCTGAACACTATGGTGACAGAGTTCATTCTCCTGGGTTTACCTCACCCTCCAAATCTACGGATGCTCCTGTTCCTGGTCTTCTTCATCATTTACATCCTGACTCAGCTGGGGAACCTGCTCATTCTGCTCACTGTGTGGGCTGACCCAAAGCTCCATGCTCGCCCCATGTACATTCTTCTGGGAGTGCTCTCCTTTCTGGACATGTGGCTCTCTTCAGTCATTGTTCCTAGACTTATTCTAAACTTCACTCCTGCCAGCAAGGCTATCCCATATGGTGGCTGTGTGGCTCAGCTATATTCCTTTCACTTCCTGGGTTGCACCCAGTGCTTCCTCTACACCTTGATGGCCTATGACAGGTACCTGGCAATATGCCAGCCCTTGCGCTACCCTGTGCTCATGAATGGGAGGCTATGCACAATCCTTGTAGCTGGAGCTTGGATAGGTGGCTCCATCCATGGCTCTATCGAAACCACCCTGACCTTCCGCCTGCCCTACTGTGGGCCCAACCAAGTGGATTACTTTTTCTGTGACATCCCAGCAGTGTTGAGACTGGCCTGTGCTGACACAACTGTTAACGAGCTTGTGACTTTTGTGGACATTGGTGTAGTGGCCGCCAGCTGCTTCATGTTAATTCTGCTCTCCTATGCTAACATAGTCCATGCCATCCTGAAGATAAACACTGCCGATGGGCGGCGAAGGGCCTTCTCCACATGTGGTTCCCACCTAACTGTGGTCACAGTCTACTATGTCCCCTGTATTTTTATCTACCTTCGAGCTGGCTCCAAGAGTCCCCTAGATGGGGCTGTGGCTGTGTTTTATACTGTTGTCACTCCCTTACTGAACCCCCTCATCTATACTCTGAGGAACCAGGATGTGAAATCTGCTCTGAAGAGGATAACAGCAGGTCACTGGGCCACAAATGAAGATAAGTAACCACAAGCTCATGGTCCATGTGTATTATCATTGCTTCCATTCTTGTCAGCTACTATTGCATGTAACAAAGCTTTCATAATCAATATTGATTTAAATTTAATGTAATTCTACTGGGCAGAAGTTTCTGGTGCTATAGTCAATTAAATTGGCCAGACTGTTTTACACTTTTCTCACTCACCTGTCAGGAAAAAACATTCTACACAAATGTTCAACATGAAGACTGAATGCTCTACCTAGGAAGAGAGACTTATTCTAGGCAAATTTGGGGGGGAGGAATGCCATAATATTGCCCATACTACTTCATTCATTTTCCTCCATTCACTTCACTCCTAATTTTCCAGGCCTTCAGGAGTTAGGGGTTTCTTGGCTGACCTCAACACCAATCCATCCTCCCAAGAAGTTGGTTTATATTTCTGTAAGTGCCTTTCAGCCCCTCACTCTACCCCATACAAAAATCCACCAAATTCTGTTCATTCTGCCTTGGAAATATCTATCTAGTTTACTAAGTGGTCTCCTTGTCAGCTCATCCCCATCCAGACTGCTACCAGAATTTTCTTTCTGAAACAAGGAACTAAATACTTCATTACTTTTATTGCATATATTCAGTGGCTCTCCATTGCAGATAGATAAAGCCATACTCCTTTGCTTGGAATTCAAAGTGTCTCATAATCTGACTCCAACATACCTCATCTTCCAAATATCTCTGCCTCCTATCCTTTTCCAGCCTCATTAATTTACCTTCCATTCCTTAAACATTTTCTATATTTCCCTGTCCATGACCCTTTGTATAATCTATTCTATTCGCTTGAATATCTTTCCTCCTTTTACATATTGGTAAATGGATGTTTTATGCTTCCTTCAAGACCCAGGGAAAAAATCTTACTTTTACAAGATATTTTCCCTGATTCAACCAATTAATTTATATCCTCCTCCCTGTTTCCTATACCACTTTGAATTTTGTTTAATACAATAAAGCATCACTACTCATGTAAAATACAGAACAATCTTTGTGGAACAGACCTGCTTACAGATACTCAGTCAGTTTCAATGCACAGAGAGGTGTCATTTCAGACCATGAAGTTAGATCAAGCTGCAAACAACTCTCAAAAACCATGATCTGCTCCAGTACATTGCCTCCTCTCACAAAGTACCTCCTCTCACACACCTGGACCCATAAGATTCAATAGTTTCCTTTCTGAAACTTATTTCACTGAAACCTTCTCCGTTTCTTCAACTTCTTTTTATCGTCTTTCCTTCCCTCACCCACATTAAGAAGACTTCCATCTTTTCAACAAGCATTATTATTTTCTGTTGTTGTTGTTAAGTGCTGTCAAATCAATTCTGACTCACAGTGACCTTATATAGGGTTTCCAAGAAGCAGCTGGTAAGTTTGAGCATTACTATACAACTAATTTAACTAATTCACACAAGGTTGAAATAACTGATGATCCCTAGTCTAGTCTTTTCTTTTCTCTTAATATTTAATTGTGAATTTGGTGAAGACTTACAGAGAAAATCAGTTTCCCATTCAACAATTCATACACATTTTACATCATGTCATTGATCTGCAATTCCCACTGTATTTCCTATTTCCATTCTTCCTTCTTTCCCAACTCTTTTGAACTTCGTCCTTGAATAGATGCTGCCCTTTTGATCTCAAATGGTTGATTATTCTAGGAGTGTGTACCTCCCTAGTGCTATTGTTCACCTTATAAATCTGTCTATTATTTGAAGGAGCTCTGGTAGTGTAGTGGTTACGAGTCGAGCTGCTAACCTCAAGGACAGCAGTTCGAAACTACCAGCTGTTCCATGGGAGAAAGATGAGGCTTTCTGCTACCGTAAAGATTTACAGCCTCGGAAACCCTAGACAGGGTCGCTATGAGTCGGAACTGATTCCACATCACACAACCACCACCACCATTATTTGACTAAACGTTGAGCGATTGGGTGAGTTCAGTTCCAGACCTGAAAGTGGCTAAGGGCATAGTCTCAGAGGCTCCACTACTCACCAAACTAAAATTTAAAATATGTCTTTGTGAACAATGTTATGCCACTTGGCCTGGTGTCCCCTGAGTTCCCAGGTCCAGCGACTCATTCCCTCAAAGTGTTTGTGGCTCTGTAGGATAAGCACTGGCCTGTGAACCACAGAAGTGGCCCAGGGTGAGACATTCAAGCCCACCAGCTGCTCCATGATAGAAAAATGAGGCTTTCTACTCACAAAGATGTATAGCCTCAGAAACCCTATACAGAGTTGCTCTGAGTTGGGACCAACTCATGGCACTTAACAACAACCAAGAAGTTTTCTTAACTTTGACCCCTGTAGACCCCTTGTCTTTTCAAAGTTATTTGGCCACTGTATTGCTGGTGAATGGTAGAGGTTTGGCTTTAGTGACTGTTTGGGGGGAGGGTTTTTTTGTTGCTAGCAGGTTCACTTGCCTTTGAACAAAATATTCTGTGATTAAATTCCAGTAGGTCCATTAGAGAGACTTTATGATGTAGTAGACAGAAAAGAGCCTGGTTTTTGAGAAAGGCACTGAATTTGAATCCTGATTCTGCCACCTACTGAGTAGGTGACCTTGTGCTAAATGCTCTGGAAACTTTCTGAACTTTAATTGGCCCTTGTGTAAAATAAGAATATCTACATTTATGTAATATTTTTAAATAAGGATTTAAATAAATTAGCATTTGTAAAGCTCCCAAAACATGATAGGCACTCAGTAGATGACACTGAACATAATTATCCTTATTGAAATTATCATTATTGTTGTTAAGTGCTGTCAAGTTGGTTCTGACTCATAGCAACACTGCATAGGATTTCTGAAGAGTGGCTGGTAGGTTTGAACTGCTGACTTTGTGATTAATAATAGTCCAGTGCTTGTCCTACAGTGCCACACTAGGATCCCTAATTATTAATAGTAGTATACAGGACCTCTGGTAGCGTAGAGGTTACGAATCAGGCTGCGAGCTGCAAGGTCAGCAATTCGAAACTACCAGCTGTTCTGTGAGAGAAAGATGAGGCTTTCTGCTACTGTAAAGATTTACAGCCTTGGAAACCCTGTGCAGAGTCTCTATGAGTCAGCACTGACTCCACGGCACATAACAACAACAACAACAAATATCTGAAGATTCTAAAATATACTGTGACAGAAATTTGAGAAGAAGAGCCATAAATTGTGATTGCCAAGCTTGGATTACTATGAAACCAGAAAAATTCTCTCTGATGGAAGAAGCCACAGTCCCCTAAAAGTGGCAGAGTGAGCCATTCTACTGGAGGTGATTAGCCAAACAAACAAGATGCAAAAATAAATGACATCAGTGTATCAGTCAAGAGAAGCCTGGAAGAACCAGGAGGAGACCCACTGACTTACCATGATAATAGCACAACACACAATTTGAACCCAATGATGTCTCCTTCTGGTGGGAACAAAAAATATCCCAGTCACCAGAGCTTCTCTGTCATGTGAATTCACTCCCAATTCTCTATTAACTTCTGGCTTTGCTGCAGATCCTGTCTAGGCAGTCTCGCTATCAGGAGTTATGGTGAAATTTATGTGGGCTTTTGTTTTAGTTCTTTGGAAAAACAACTTGAGAGATTCTTTCCCCTAGTCCCTGAGAAATTACATTTACCTTAGTGTTCTAGTTGTCAAGGTTGATTGACATATCCTGGGTAAATTGTAAACAACTTGTGATTTGTTATTTTTTTTGTCTGGTCCTGGGCTACAGGTTGTCTTGTGATTGTATACACCTTGCAGGAATTAGTCAACAGACTATGCAAATGAAGTATCTCCCCCACTGTAAATTTACAAGGAGTTGTGTAGATAAGCAGCCAATCCTACAGAGGTTTGAGAGACAGAAAGAAGCAAGAAGAAAAGTAGCTGAAAGAAGCATAGCGAAAGGAGACAAGGAACTTCTAAACCAACTATATATAACATGAGCTGTAACACTGAAGAGAGTGACAGACCCAGAAAGGGCAGAATCAATGGCAACAGGCCAAGAAGGCATCCTGTGAAGAGTCAGTAGTGAGAGACAGCAAGGTCAACAGGAACCTGTCCTGAATGGGGCTAGAGAAGCTAGTCCTGGAGGGGACCAAGAGGAGCCTGTCTTCAGGGAACCAAGAGGATTCTGTCCTGAAGGGATGAAGAAGACCCTGTCCTGGGGGTTCCAAGAGGAACTTATCCTTGGTCTGTGAGTTCTATGTGGCAATTGCAAACTCAGCAAAGAAGTAGAGAGTGCATTAGAAGGACATTTGATGTCAGACTTGCTATAAAAAAAATTTAAAAAAACTAGGGAGTGGAGGTATGTCTATCTTCCTCCGTACAAGAATCAGCTTAAATTCCCCAAATTGTGGCTTGGAGTCTAGATACATGATTGGATAAACTTCAATTTCTTGCTTAAATCATGCTTCCTGGGAGTAGCATAAAAATAACAAACAAGACTAGAATATGAAGAGTAAATAGCAACCCTCTCATCCAACTCTACCCTACCGCCTGTAGCATTCTTGCCTCCACATGTGTCATACCATGAGTCTGGTTAGTTGTCAACCCTCATGGTTCAGACCAACTTACCGTGTAGGAGATCTGACAACACTCTTCAAATTGGTCTCAGAGAAATATGCCTTCCAACTTAATTCCTGGCCATTTACAAGCTAGTGTACAATCAGGGTACAGATGACAAACAGACTTATGAGTCCATAATTAACTGGAAGTTCAGATCTCAAATCTAAGTTGCAATTCCTAAAGTAAGTTGTGGGTATCAGTATGGGACTTTGGTCCTACACAAAGGCCACACACCCCTTTCAACCAGTTCTCCTCACTGATTAGTCCAAATGAGGCTCACATTTCCCCTGATGAGCCTTTTTTTTTTTTTAATAACCCACAAGGTAAGAATATATTTTTGCATTTTTTCAATAGTTGAAAAAAATCAAAAGAAAAATAATACCTCGTGACACATGAAAATTATATGAATTTTCACATTTTTTTCTATACATAGTATCATCATGA